CCTAATAAGTATGCACACCTGATATAGGGTGTTGATGTCATTAGACCACACCCCTTCTCATTACAGAGATGCACATCACCTAATATGCTTAATTGGTAGTAGGCTTTTGAGCCTATACAGCTTGGAGTAAGACAACATGCATAAAGAGGATGATGTGGTCAAAATACTCATTTGCCTAATAATTCTGCACTCCCTGTATATGTCTTAACTTCCTGATAATAATCCTGATATTTTATCAAATATTAAAATATTTTTTTTTTCCAAATGAAGTAAATTTAAAAAAAAAAAAACTTAGAAACTCCTTCCTACCTCTAGTATACGATGCACCTTGGGTCGAACAGTGTTTGAAGACTGACATTTCTTTGGGGAGAGTGAAGCTGGGAAGACCATAGACAAACGATGTCCGACGCAAGGTGTGTGTATATAGCTGGAGAATCCTTTTTTTTTTCAAATGCTTCATTTACAAATATAAAAAATTCTTTCAAAACGTAATCAGATGATTATTATATTAAAAAATTGAAAGTTGTCCTTTACTATTACCCCCATACATTGCTGTGTCTTACTGTTATATCCGAGTATTAAAGGGACACCATAACTAATGCAGTGCACTGCAGTCCCTGGGGGTTCTCCACAAGCAATCTGTCAATGTTTAGGAGAAACGGTAGCATTGTTTGTTGTGATGATGTCCTTCAGTTTTACTCATTGAATTCCTCTCCTGAAGGAAAGAGCCGTGACATTGATTCATCTGACGTCCTTTACCCAGAGAGCCGGACAGATTGGAAGCCCTGTTACTACAGATCCTCTGTGGGGACTGGCAGCTTTTATTGTGTCTGAGTTCCCTATAAATCACTTTGAATCAACTCAATATACGGATAGACTGACAGGCTTCTCTGGAGACTGCAGCTGGGGATGGGAAAACCAGACACACGGTGTATCTGCATAATGAGCGCTGCTATACACGCGATCCTCGGATGGAGATAATACATGAAACGTGTGACGCTGACTTCATATCTGGGTCCTCTGACACCTGGGATAATTATCTTGGGGTACATGTCGTACACGGAGCCACTGTGACCCCTTCACTGTTAGATTCTGTGATAATATTCCGCACACCCTGTCTGGTCACACATTACATCAACCTACAGGGGATCTGCCCCAATATCCTGTGCATGGCGAGCGTATGACGGGTGTATTGGAGCACAAGTCACAGTTAATGGCCACAATGATCTCAGATAGAGTCCACAGGCATCACAACATAGGGTGAAGGCAAAAAATATCTATTGAGGATCAAAAGCGACAAAGGTATAATGTTTCAGCCGCGATTAAGGCCTCACGGCTGAAACGTTGTACCTTTTTGATCCCCAATAAATATTTTTTTGGCTTCATCCTACATTGTGACGCCTGTGAAACTCTGACTCCACGTGCATGTACTTGTGTGCATTTACAGGTACGGACTTTATCCTTCACACTTGCTACAATTGCAAATAAATAAAATTGAATGATTTGAGCGTGGGCTGTAAAGGTAATAAAACAACGATTAGAGTGAGTTCAGGGTGTAACAGGCCATGAAGCTTGTACAGGTAATGGGAATAGTTATACAGGTGTTCCTTGTTTTGTGACCTTCCTGTTTTACAACGGCTCGCACTTACGACCAGCTCTCTCGCAGGGTGGTAAGTGCGAGCCATCGTGGGAATTTGAGGGATTCCCTGCTCTGGTGCGTTTGTCTATGTTCGGGGAAATTTCCCTGAACATAGACGAATGCAGCAGATCAGGGAATCCCTCTAATTCCCACGACTGAGAAATGTCCCTGAACACAGAAATGCACACCAGAGCAAGGAAATCCCTTAATTCCTCAATTGCCGACCAATTCGTTCTACGACCGGTTCGTAGGAACAGAGCCTGGTCAGTAAGGGAGGAATGTCTGTATTTGATTAAAGCACAAGGCTTATTGAACTGGAATTCCACATACAGGAAGTGGTGTCATTTTCTGGCCACTGCTTTTACCATGTACAGGAAGTGATGTCATTTTCTGGCCACTGCTTTTACCATGTACAGGAAGTGATGTCATTTTCTGGCCTCTGCTTTTACCATGTACAGGAAGTGGTGTCATTTTCTGGCCACTGCTTTTACCATGTATAGGAAGTGATGTCATGTTCTCGCCACTGCTTTTACCATGTACAGGAAGTAATGTCATTTTCTGGCCACTACTTATTCCTCGTGCAGGAAGTGATGTCATTTTCTGGACACTACTACTTCCTCGTACAGGAATTTATGGCCTTTGCTTTTTTCATCTTCCACTCACACAGGAATGACAGCAATTTACTACATAAAATCCACATAAATGAAGTGATGTTGCTGAGTTATGACATACTAGCAATGGTACAGGAGATTCACACACCGTTATGGGCTGTATCGCTAATCAGCAACTGGCGGAGACTCTGTAATGTTTCCAGTACTCCGCGATGGTGATTTTTTATTTTTATTTTATAATAATACTTGAAGCTGTGATTGTCCGGAGTGAATATAACATTTATAATGTGATATTATGTGA